AAACTTTTGTGTTTATATCTGGGTGTGATGTATCGTAGTAGTGTGTCCGTGTGCTCATGTATATGCTGCGTTTCGTGTTTAGATGGCGCACACCATCAAAGGCCTCGGCCTTGGGGGATCCTCTTAAGGGACGCATTTGCGGCATCGAGTGGAGAACCGCAACTTCGGTGTGATTTAACAACCACCGTTTATATTAGTAAGTCGCTCGAGATTCAAGATATTCCGCGCGTATGTTTACAACGCGTAAAAAAACTTTGGCCGTAACGGTAGACTGGCCGGCACGTGATGCTCGGATGTTTCGGCGACCTTGCGGCGCGCTGCGTAGGCACACGATCGCTTTTTGTTTATCATTCGCGCGGAGCGAGTCGTGCGGGTAGGCAGCCGTCGCTCCGTGCTCCGTCTGTTGTCTCTCGGTACGGTTTCTTTCGGCATCGCGACATCGCCATCCCGCGATCATCGATAAAGCGACCGCGGCACGAATCGGTTTCGCATCAAGCGACGCGTTTAATCCAGCGATCGCCGTTAGCCCCGCGCCGCGACATTCAATAACGCAACACAAATGCGGCGTACGTGCGCGTCGGTGATTTGTCGCAAACCCCCCCTCGTCGTCCGACGTTCATTTCGCGAGACGTTAAACAGCGTTCCAGTGATGGTTATTTTCCACAACGTAATAAAAATGACGTGGATCAAGCGGAGATGCGGTCGCTCCTGTATCGATACATCGAAGCCGCCCGCGATTCCCGCGCTGCTGCAAGAAGGGAGCAGGAATCAAGATGGCGGCTCCGACATGTCGTACGAGTGGCGTGTGTCTCGGGTACGGCCCGCGGTCTACAGTGAGTCGTTGGTCAGAAGTCAGAACTGTACGTCGGTATTCTTTTTCTTCCGCCCAGAAAGGAAGAGGAATAAACGTATAGTCCCGACTTCTGACTTTGAATCGGGAGTGCCGTGAAAAGTGCCGCGCGACATCCCGGAGATCGGTAAACGGCGGTGCGCGGTAGCGATTAACCGCGATTGTCTTCGCCAGTGTTGTACGAGTGCGACGTGCCTGCTGACGACCGTGACGTACTGAGAGGAGGAGCTGGCCTGGGTAAAGGCATCGTGCGCCGGCGGAGCATCCTCGGGGTGAGTAGTTGTTGTTACTTACTTGGCGGCAACTATCTCGCGAAATGTTAATTAACTTTGGACATGGTTTTAATCGAAATATGTTTACGGTTTACAGTTCTCGTCTTAGTCGGCGACTCCGCTGCTGCACGTCGAATCGGTGAGTGTCGACGTGTTTTTTTGTCCTGCTTGGAGACAACGGATCTGTGTCTATGTCGCGCAAGAATTATACCAGACGTAATTACGTACGGGTGTGCACGTGAAAATTAAGTGAAAGGCAAAAGGGTATCGCGGCTCACGGATCCGTTACCTCGACGCACGCATTGGTTTAAAATATTTAACCTTGGAATTTGTATAACTGCTGATTTATTGATTCGTGCATAAAGAGTTTCAGGAGCACGATTGAAAATACCGTGAAAATATGTTAATAATTACATTTGGCAGTTTCTTTTTGATCATTAAATCGAGGGGTAAACCGCTGAGGGCATTATGGTGTACAGATTTGCGGCATTACTGGGCATTACTAGATATTTTTTGGGCATTAGTTTGGGCATTTTAAAGACAAAATAAGATGAAGTAATTCCCACTAGGCATTAGTGGGCAACGGCGTACATGATTTTGGCCAGCGGTTTACCCCTCGCATTAAACTTAATGTCGAAAACATAACTGATTCATTCGCTTCAACTGCTTTATCGTTCAGATAATTAGTGGAAGATAATTGTTGAGTTATTGATTTATGCATAAATCGCGAACGAGACTTCAAGGAACACAATTGAGAATACCGTAATGTATTAATAATTATATATTTGGCTACGTCTTTTTAATCATTAAACTTTATGTCGAAAACGTTATAACTGATACATTCGTTTCAAGTGATTTATCGTTCGGATACTTTTAGTGGAAGATAATTGTTGAGTTATTGATTTATACATAAATCGCGAACGAGATTTCAAGAAACACAGTTGATAATACCGTGATGTGTT